ATGGCGGTGGCGGTGAAGGTGGTGGCGGCGATGGCGGCGACGGGGATGGCGGTGGCGGTGATGGTGGCGGCGGTGAAGGGGGTGGCGGCGATGGCGGCTGCGGGGATGGCGGCGGCGGCTGAGGGGATGGCGGCGGCGGATTGACCAGAAGCGGTGTTATGGACGGCAACGTCTGTGAGATGGGACAGCAAGTACGTGTGGTGTCAAACATGGCCGCGACACACACACCCGCCTGCGCGCCCGGCGGCGTCACGCACATCTGCTCCAGGGTGGTGCATCCCTGACCGCCCCTATTGGCCTTCAGCGTGATGCACAACTCCGCGTTGGCTGCTGTCACGGCATCGAGCGCCAGCTGCGTGAGCCGCAGAATGGCAGAGCCATTTTGGCCGTTGAGGGGCCTGTCAAATGACGGGCCGATTCGCGTGTATACGCCATTGATGGTGGCTTTGACCTCCGCGGCTGGCTGCACCAGACAGCTGGTTGACACATTGAACTGCGTAGTAGAGCAGGAGCGTGTGTCGTGGATAACGCAACCAACGCAGCGTCGGGACAGGACGGCAAGGGCGTTCGTCGTGAACGCAGAAAATTTTAAAGGATGATATGCTGACGTGGGCATGAGGATGCTTGGATGTGAAGTTCAGAAGTTGTGTGTGTAGGAGGCAGATGCTGCTTTGTAGGGTTGTGCATGGCAAACGGCAGGGTGAATGCGGCCTGTCTGAATCCATGTCTTTCTACTACTCTTCTTTTGCTTCTTCATCAGCGTCGGTGAGGCCCTTCCATGTTGCGTAGTTTATTGCTCTAGGGCTTCATAAGCACTCAAAACTAAACGACTAGTGGCGCATGCCCCCAGGGTTTTAACCGTTCATTTGCAACCTTCGCCCCCTCCCCTCCCCAGGAGCAGGATAAATAGCTGTGTGGTGCATATCGGTATCGGAGACCTCAACTCTTACCTCAATTTTATGCAGGTTCACCGTGCAGCATGGTGAGGAGCAGCCTTGCAGTACCTTAATCGTGAAGCAGTACTTTCCGCCACCCTTCGCCTCCACTACTGGGGCAAAGCTGTACGCCCCAACCGCCCCGGTCTTCGCAGCGCACATATGGAAAGGAAATTGGGGAATGGAACCCGTCTGCTCTCCCATAGAAACGTCGCTGTAATCTGAGTAGTATGAGCCGTCTGAAAATGTGCCATCTTGCTGGGCCCTGCACATCGCCATCCAAACGGATTACATCAGATAAACATATCAGTATCATGTTATTTCTATTTGTATTATCAGAGAAACAAAGCTTGCAGTTTTGTTCGGAAAGAGCTTGCATTGTCTAACCGAAGAGTTATCAATAAGCTATACAGCGAGCTTATCAAAGACATAAAGGATGACACCTTTCATAATCAAACTTAGATGCATGGGCTCGGTAAGGCTAGGGATCGGTACCTAAAGTCGTCTTCAGAGCACCTACCAGGCAACCGCCACGGCTGCCAGGAGAAATAAACCTATTCGGACCATTTGTCTTTATGGGCCGTTAAAATCACTCACAAAGCTCATATTCCTACCTGTATTTATCTCAGTGCGTGCATCATTGGGCCCTGCGCTGTGGCGTACTTCGAATACGCGGGGCGGGCGCAGTACCAGCAAATTCAGGGGTGTTGCAAGATGAGGTCTCTCTGCTAACGAATTCCATGTTAACTGTGAAATTTCATAAAAATTGAAAGATAGCGGCGTGTATTTCTGAAGAACTCATTGTATCACGACACGTGTTGGTTAGTGCTCTAGTTGAATGGCGGACTTGCAATACACCCTTAGCACATTCTCGCTAGGACTGATCTAATCATCCAAATGCAAGAATCCAGCAAGAATTATAAGTCGAAGTCGCCTGAAATGCCAGTCCAGCCGCGCATCCTTATCGTATGGCTACAGTCTTAAGCTGCGGGCAACCTTCCAGATGCGGATACCGTGGATGGATTCGATACCTTTCATGCACGATTTATATTGCGATTAATGCGTCTTTTAACGATTTTGTTGGTACGAATTGTGACTGAAATAACTACCGCCATACATCCGAGCCACCATACATATTCCACAAGACCCAAACGTTTATGGTCTGAGGTTTGACATTTTGCTGATCTATTTAAAGTTTAGAGTGATGCTCGCATGTGCTACTGACGCCACGAGAGCTCGAGCGCAAAGGACAATCGGCCAACCGCCAACTGCGGCAGCAGTCCAAGTCTTGCCTTTGTACCGGGCTTGTAAATATGATGAGGTCAAGAGATATTGCGTGTAACCAATAGGTACACACAGTCAGGAACGCCCACAACGTTGCATGTTAACGGAGACGGCCGTACGTGCCGACTCTTAAGTCGCAGCTGTGGAAATTGCGCCAACACGCGTTGCAGACATCAGCAATAAACACCAATGAATCTCAATCTTCATTGATAATCGCTCGGCCTATGCGTTTACAATTATGCCCTTGCAACACTCAGCAGACATGGCCATGTATCGGTAGAGCGTCTTCAATTGTTTGGTTGGAAGGTGAAGGCCTACCAGCATTTATTTCCATGCAAGATAGCGAGACCACGGCAGTGATTGCGACCCATAGCCACGCACATTAGGTGCCGTGCGGGGACAGTGTCTGTTGCGGTATTCGGCTTTTGATGGCGACAGGTCCGTCGAAAAAGATTCTACGACGCATCTCCCCGGCCGGTCGAGGCTGTTGCACGTACGTGCCGCAGAGGTCGGAACCCGACAAGGAAAACATTGAGGACTGAGCCTGCCCTGGAATGAACCTACCAATCATGAGCATTATTGGTGGCCTGGCGGGCGCTGCTCGTTCCTTTTGGCCTCTGCATGTGGCACCCTCCCCTACCGTGCTCTCTCTCCCTCTCTTTCTCTCTATGTACATTTATATGATATATATGCAACAGTAGCCTAGCTTTGCTCCAAGACAAGCCGTATAGAACAAAATAAAGGGACGTCTTGCACCGTGCTCGTGTCGCGTCAAACGACTGTAGCATCGACATCGTGACACTCGTGCCGTGCGCCGGTGCACGGCTAAGAGCAGCATCCCGATCTTATCCCGCCCTTCCTGAGGAGTAAATTGGCTGCATGCACTGCTGACGCATGCAATCCGCACCGGGTGTGCGGTCGACTTGCGGGCATAGAATCGCATAGTTTTCGTTGTTGCTCAGTCCATGGACACGCACGCCTGCCTTCCTTGGGTAGCCTCAGGCTGCAGCGGCCCTTATTCCGATGGGACCTGAACCAACAACAGCGGCTTTCCCAGCATTGCTTTCCCAGCAGGCGCTCTTCACCACGCAACAGCAAGTACCTTGTTTATTTTTTAGGATGCACACGAACTTTCCCAAGGGGACCGATGGAGAGCGTGTATATCTACGAGGAGTTGCTCTCATCAAGTAAGATCCATTAATCCCGAGCTGGAGTGCAGCTAAAGCACGCATGGAATGGAGCGAGAACGGCATGGGCCCGTTTATGAACCCTTCAGTTTCATTGTAGGGCACACTGCGGCAGGGAGCCTTGGTACAGCACGGCACGGCATGGACTTCTCATCGGTGTCAATTGTTGACCCGCCCGAGTGGCAGCGCTGATAGGTCGTGCTATCGAAGACCGGTTCCACACTGGGGACACCGGTTTCAACATGAAAGTGAATAATACACGTTATACAAACTTTGTAAATCACTAATAGTAACAAGCTTTGATTGTGTATAGACGGCAACCTGGCATAATAGAATGGACGCTCCCTGTCTAGTGTATACCAGGGCACACTGTATATACGGTTAAGATTTTGGCGAGTTGTGCGCCATCAAAATCCTTACACTGCCAAGCAACGGCCACTATTGAATAGTAACTGTTATTTTCAGGGAAAGGGACAGCGACATTCGGAACCAGCCCTGCAGCCCAGCAGCCCAGCACCCCGGCTTGAATGCGTGATGAACGAAGTAATATAAGCAGGTATTACAGCGAGCCCCAAACCCCAGGGGAATACCCCAGGGTAGGGCCCAGGAAGCATGGTATGGAAGCATGGTATGGCACTGATGCATTTCCGTCTTGGGTGATGCGACCTCAACATGTCTCATTTGCACGTCAGCCGGGGTGCAACCCCCGTGTTGAACGTAAGTGCCGTAAGGGCGCTGTGGAGGACGAGCGTCACGTCTTAATGGAGTGTCAGGCGCATGAGCGTGTCATGGTCGCATGTTCCCCCCTTGAAGGATGTCCGTTGTGGGGGAACACACGTTTGCCGCTGGCCAGCATTACGACAGGTACAACATGTAACATCTAGTCTTTTACTCGGCCCACAACGCATCATCACTGACAGGGACACAACTTGCACCGCAGCCTAGCACAGGCGCCTCCCTTGCTAAGCCTTGCGACGGACTTCTTGGGGCAGAAAAAATATTTAGGCTGTATTTAACTTAAAGACTTAAGAGCGCTTTCGCTTCTCTGCTTCTTCTCGGTACTAGGGCAGTACGAAATTGCTAGAATTTTGGCAAAGGCTTTACAGCGAATGGCAACAGTATCGGTTTTGGTTCCTGCATTTTCCAGTAATTGCCCGTCCTGTCTCTGATTAAGTGCAATTTCGCAGCTGCAGCCGCTTCCACCTTAGGAGGAAACAAGTTTGCCGCCATCACGGGACAGCGCTGGAGTGCTGAGGATAAAAAAACAGGATGCATATTTATTATTGTAGTTTTATTATGATGCATAATTGCAGTACCGAAGGACAACCTGCCAGTTGACGGTATCTGCTTCGCTTCGTCCCAGATACGGGACCGAAGGTTAGGCGGATTATTGGCCAAACGATTCTTTGAAGCAAAATTTGTAATTCTGTGGCATCTACATGTGTTATTTTATTCAATTGTTAGATATTACTTGATTGCTATATCAGGAGATCTCCCAGGAATGAAATATTGTTACAGTTGCCGGTCCGGCCGTATCTGACAGGATCATGTACAGGTGCTTGCCCGCCGCGCCCAAACACTGGACAGGCCACGAAAGGTCCGAAACGCCGGGCAATGAGACGAACGATATTTCCCAAACTTGTTGTGTTTGCTCTGGGTTACGATGACACTACTTATAAGCACTCCGTAACTGACGTGTGCTGACGTCAATCATCGAAGGATTTCTTCAGTCTCCTAATGCATCCGACAACATTTCGTGTTGCATGCGTTGACGGATTATCGACAAGCATTGATCCGGTAACTTCAGTGTAGCTTTGTTATTGCGAAATAATCAACTTCCCAATATATATGTTGTTTCGTTGGCTGCCCGGACGAAACGCGGATGAACGGCGGACGAAGGGCAGGCGAACGGATTTCCGTGAAATTGAAACGCAGCCGAATCCTAGGGTGAGCCGTTCCAATGCCGCGATTCCGTGTTTAACCGGCGTCGTGCGTGCATGCATATGCAAGCATCCATCCTCCTGACTGGCTACTAACAAGCTGAAGAGCTCCCCATCCGCCGCGTGCCCAGCGTAGGGGTCTAGTTTTATCGGCTGTTAAAGTGTGGCCGTGTGGGCCGCGAACGGCGGGCGATCGATGCACAGTAGTTAAATGTCTTGAGCTCCATTCGGTTTTGTTTATGGTTTCCAGTGCCGTGCGCTTGCTTACGCCCCCCCCCTCCGGTATGAGCGCCCCACGGCGCCTCGCAAACAACAAATAAGACACTTCTTCAGTTTTCCATTTAGAGCCAACAGTTGTCGGGTCGCGAAGGTTAATTGCATCTGACAACTGATGACGGGTCTTGAAGCGCATTACTTTATTCGTCGGACCAAGAAGTAGTGTGTGCGCCGGTAGCTACTGTGTGTCAGTAGCTACCACCCCGACGGCAAACGTGCGTCGGTATGTATAGGCGTCGAATACTGGAAGCATACAGCATTAGCTTAGCGGCCTACTTGTCTTTATGTTACAATAAATCGGCGCCCGCCTATGTAGCGCTAGGCAAGATGACTGCATGAGCAGAGAAAACTCGGATGAGCAGCCTAGACACCATTACTAGTGCGTGGCGGGTGCACGCGACCCCTATCTGCAACTAGCGCAGTAGAACACAGCAGCAGCTGCGGCGCCTAATAATAATGAGCCAAGTATGTACAATCCTTCCTTCCTGCCTGCCTGCCTGCCTGCCAACGCTCTGGAGTGGCACGGCATGCTGCTGGCCCGCGGGGGGAACTAATCCCTGGGCAGCTCCAGGGGGATGAATGATGCCGCCGCCGCAGCCGCCGCAGCCGCCGCCTCCTGCTGGTGCCTCAGCTGCTAACAGTCGCTGCCGCCAACGCTAACGCAAAACGCAACTATCCCCAGCCCGAGGCTGCGCACCCATCCATACGACAAACAAACCAAGCGTTGAGCACAATAAGCACCGTGTCCTAGCTTTTGGCTCATTTTTCCTTATGGCTTGCATATATGCAATATTGCCGAACTGGCACGCACGCATACTTTCTATGCATGTCTGCCTGTCCATCCATCCATCCATTCACCCATGTGCTGCCGTGCACGGCGGGGCCGGGGACACATGTATAGATATCTGGGAATGTATTATCGCTTATAGATCGTGCTGTCCTATATTAGATAGGACCGTCTCTATCTATTATATTAATAAGGGCATGGTCTACAGACGATGAAGAATTCCACATTCGGATCAGTTACAGGGCCGTGCGTGCCTGTATGTGCCAACACCTTGGAAGTTTTTGGATTGCTATTGCAGGTAGGAGTGAGAGGACACATACACAAACCATATAATTGTATTATGCGCAATCTGCATGTGGGGCATAAAAGGCTATACATTTGTATATTTGGCTCGATTAGACGAAACCCAGCAGGCAACCACAGTCCCATGGGCCGCTGCCACCAGAACGAACGGCAGGAGTAAAGACAGATACGTAGATACACGGGAGCCGCGGGCGCCCGCAGTACGTAAACCGTGGGTGTGACAGGTGCGTGTGTTAGCTGCGATAGCAGGGTACGAGATAGAGCCAACGCTGGACAGTGATTGCACCACGCCAGCCAGCCAGCCAGCTGTCTTAGGAGCTGTTCCTGAACAGCTGTCCGAGCGAAGGCCTACCTACTTAAAGCGCTAGAATTCATAACAGCAGCAAATAAGCGAGATCATGGTTAGGAAAGTACATCAATTCATCCACGAGTGTCAATGTAAAAAGCACCGTCGACAAAAATAAATTATCTAATGCAATCCTTAGGTTTGTCTCCTAATCTGCAAGTAACAATAAGCTACAAAGAGCCCTTACACAGATTGCATGTATGGTTCCAAACCAGACTGTTGGCCACACGCGTGCCTCATCACCGTCTCTATCTGCCGCACCGCTTGCCTGTACCACGCCCGCTAACAGGCCGACCTTGGGTTTATCCCATCAGCTTCCAAAGCATGTTCACTACGCAGCACTGGCCGCCGGCACACCAGTAGACAACAACAAAGCAACCCCCAACTGCGGGTGCTGATAGGCCCCGCTGCGCCCTCAGTCTACCAGCCGCCAACACCAACATGGGGGGGTGCTTCTCCGTCCACCATGGGGATATGCTGCGGCGCAGCCTTCCTTTTTTAGCAATTGATGACCCCCCCTACAGGTGTTTTTCATTCCTGCGTCATGTATATGTTGGCGTGCTGTCCTTGGGATTGCTGATCGATTGGCTGGCTGGGCCCAGCAGCACGTAGGCACGCACGCGGCCCATTATCTTAAGCTTACAGCAAGCCAAGAGCCGTGCGGTAGCTGGGGCAGCAGTCCCTGTTGGTGTTGACAGTGCTCACGTAGCTGCGTGGGGAAGGGGTTCGTTGCGGAGAGAGGCAGGGGAGGAGAATGATGGACGCGGGTAAGGAGAGGTAGCACCCGTGAACGAGAGAAGGGGAGGCAGCCTCTGCAGCTTCCCCGGCCGGGGAGTGCCGGTGGAAAGCGCATGGCGGGTTCTCATGCATTGCAGCAGAATGTGCACATATGCCCATCATCACCACCGTCATTATCACCGTCATTATCACCATCATTATCATCACTATCAGCAGCTACCGCTTGCTGGTCCCGTGCATCGCCACCTTATGTGAACGAATCAGCAGCTGTCGTTCAGTGCGGCACGCACGCACACACACACAAACGATTTTAGACGTGCTAAAGCGCTTTATTTACAAGCGTTTCGAGCGGCCTTTCGAGTCCCAGCTGCTTGGGGTTTGATGGGGGTTGGTATTGAGAACTGCCTTGGACATGAAGGAAAGTTAAGACTACAAAAAGCGATCGTAGGAGATGACCACGTCATCCGTGAAGATCTTTGACGCAATTTCTGCACTTGAATTCTGGCGCTCTAAAAACCGTGCCAAGAACCCGCCTACCGACATACGCATCCTTTCGGCTATTCTTCTGCCCCTTGTGGCCGCCGCCCACTTTGCTTACCACTGGCCGGGGAAGCCCAGACACAAGTCGAGCATAGTCTTGGTGTTATCCAGCTCTATGCAAACCGAAGCGTCCTGGGCTTGGCTGATGCTCCAATGCAGCGGTACTGCAGCAGCAGCAAAAGCAGCAGGTAACGCAAACGAGGGCAGCAGTAGCAGCAGCAGCAAAAGCAGCAGGACATTATTGCGATTCTCTCTCAGACAGCGCCCGATCCATCTATCGCCAAATAACTGAGGAACGACAAAATATAGTGAACATGGAGCCGTGCAACGCTTCCCTAGCTATCTATCTAGCTATCTACCTACCTTCCAGCAGCCGACTAGATGGCCGTTTATTCAATTCTTGCCTATTGGCAACCTACGTAGAAACTAGCACCAATGCCAACTAGGTGCTTTCGATTACCAGCTAGCTAGGCGCGTGGTGATGACCCGCCGCAAACAAGCAAGACGCCGGAACCGCATATGGTGTGCATGCATCTTATAAAGCCGGTGCGTGCCGCGGCGCGTCCTGGTGCGCCTAGGCAAATATCACAGAAGTACCAAACAACGTGGGCGGCGTTGCGACCACATGAATTGCGACTTGCCAATGCCGACTGGACCGCATACATCCTGCGCATCCATGCTTGAGGGCCTGTGCCCCTATCTACATACAGCATGCACGTGGCCCTTCGTGCGCCACCTATCTTTGCCCGCCCACGTATTGTAGATATCCACCTATCAGACAAAGCCCCGCTGGGATACTGGGATATCATTGTGTAACATGAAAACTCAGACGCTGACCCACCGTTAAATAGGTAGGCTCCCCCGATAGCTGTCCAAGAGGGAGTGACGATGCTCGAAGATCCAACGCTGGGATAAATTCTAACTGCGTGCACTGAGGCGGACAAGTTGCGCCCTGCAAGCAAGAGGGGGGCCCAGCCGCCAGAACACCGTGAGTGCGTCACGTGCTGTTGTGTTCGTGGGGGAAGAGCATGCAGCAAGCCTGGTGAACAACACCCGCCCGTGAAGAGGTAGGCTGCCTTTCTGTTGTTGGAAACATAAATGAAAGAAACCAACAAGCTGCCATGGGTTTCGCCCGTCGATATGCGCGCCATTCGCAGCGGTCGTAAGATCCACACCAACCCTAAGGTCATCACTTTTTTCGTGTAGTAGACCTTCGCCACCAAAGATAGAGAAAAGGAGATGCTATGTATGCCGAGCCCCGCATATAGACATGTACTCACTTGCGTACAACTGGACTTCCCCTAGTTGACTCAGATCGCCACTGCAGCCGCCCTGTGGCCGTATTTCAAGGGGACAGCAGGTAGGTAGTAACAGCTTAAAACACGGCTGGAGTATAGGTGCGTGGCGACGGAGGGAGGGGGGGCCAGATACCGGCATACGTATGTAGGACATGCAAGGTAGACCATTAGGTAGGGAGTCAGCAACTGGGCACGTGTGCATGTACGTGTGTGTGTGTGTGTGTGCGTGTACACGTGCCCTCTGACAAACAAAGCCCTGGCAGGCCTACGGGTTGTGTATGTCAAGACCAAAGCGCGGGATCTCAGCAGCAGGGCCAAAGTGGAGGAGTTTTTTGCCTTAATTCGCCGTCCACCCGTACAGGAAGGGTTGGAATTGCCTTGCTGCAGGTACACCAGGTAGGCGGTCTATTTCACCCGTGCAGCATGTCGGTGTCACCACTCACCGGTACCACTTGGCTTGCGTCCAGAACGTTCACTTGAAAGCAGTACTCGGTGCTGTTCGCGCTCCATGAATTGACCATATAGCGCGTGGAGACCAAGAATGGCAGGGTGCCCTTTGCCATGTTGCACCTATTAAGAGGTAGGTGGCCGGGCGGGGCCAGGGTGAGAAAGAGCTACGTGTTATATCACGACCTTGAGCCTTCGGCTCGTATGCGGCGGTTTGCAGGTAAGGGGAACGCACCCCACGACCATGTAACATACACTCACACATATCACGACTACATCTGCTACAGAAAAGTGCCGCCGGCGGATGCAGATCCCGTGATATGCCCAGAATACAACACTACGGAGGAAACAAAAACAAGAGCTTGGTAAGACAGGTGATTGGTAAGACAGCAAGCTCGGTAAGGTTCTGAAGCAACGAACGCGGTGGTGGGAGGGGTAGCAGAGGTTTCAAACAATCGGGAGTTGCGGGAAGCCTTCCTTTAATGTGGTTTTGCACTGATGTACAACAAGTTACCAAGTTATAAGTTCCGCACAAAATAGGGGGATGTCCGTAAAAGCCAGGGGAGAGGGTGCCATGTGAGATCATGTAGCTAGGGATACAGCCCACAAAGGTGCGCACTCTCAGGGCGGCCCCCGCTAGGACCCGATGACCTACGTGCTGGACGGGACGGGCGTGGCGGCCGCATTGCAGCTGGTGGAGCCGGAAAGGTCCAGGCACGTGCTGCCCTCGGTGGTGATTTCCACCCTGTAACCCTCCAACTCGGGCTTGCAAACACTGCCAACGGAGGCGGATCCGAGGAAATACGGCATAAGAGCCTCTGCCGTGGCCTTGAAGTTCTGAGCCTCTGCCGCATAGGCAAAAGTGCCGCACACACGCGTCTCCAGTTCTGTGCAGTAGTTGTAGTTGAGTACGAAGTACGACAACATGTGGATGTTGTTATCGATGAGGGCGACATTGATTTGTGTGGAGATAGCATCCTGGATCTGGAAGCATGCATAAGGATCGTATCGGTACGGACGTACGTCAATGGCTGGAGGCTGCAGCTTGGC